GTCACAGGAAGCTAAGAGTAGATAGCAGAGATAATGAGGTATTGTTTTAATAGGTGTTGATAACTGGTGATTCCTTTACAAAATGTGAGCACCTTTCCCTGAATGAATCAGGAGTGTCTGGCTGCCAAAAATGAACTGTGTCTTTCAGGGTGTTAAATAACTAAGCCTTGGAGAAAATTCAGAAGTTCAGGTGAGTGAAGGGGCAAGAGCTGCCGGTGGGGAAAATTCTTGCAAATGGGAAGGAGGGAATTTTGCTCTCACTATCCTATCTTCCCTGGCTTTTAGCAGTAGAGCTACCAGATGAGCTCCATCCAGCAGGTAGAAAGTCAGTTCAAGTGATTTAGAGGCACAAATGAGGGAACAAAGATGCACACTCCAAACAAACATGGATATAGAAAAGCAGTAACATAAAGCAGCTGTGAGGAGCAGGATCTCTGGCAGCAGAAATGAAAACTGACTATGAAAAGAAGCAAGCACTATATCATTTGAGCTACAGAGAGGAGCAAACCCTGCAAGGCCAGCTGAACCTCCTACTTAACTGAGATGTTGTGCCCAAAGGGGAGATTTGTGAGAAGAAAGGACTTTCATACCCTACAGTACTGTGACTGTAAGTTTCCTTGGTCACATGTGGTCCTTACATATATGCTTTGTACTCTAAATATGTGTCCACTCTTCCCACAGATACTCTATTTGTGGAATAGTGCACCCCAGGTTTATGGAAGGAATATTTTTGTAGACACTGTTTTCACTATGGCATCTTAGTGAATGCTGAAAACCAATTGTCTGCTACCTAATTGTTAATAGGAAGCTCCAAAGTGGGAGCTATTGAGCTATCATTTTAGGAGTAGCTAACCACGAGGTAAACTAGTATTAACTACCCTCTGAGGAGGTAGTCCAGAGTGCTATATTTGCATTTCTAAACCTAACAAATAATAGAAAAAGGGGGGCATTTTGCTTTAATCCTGTATTTATTGTGAAAGCTTCTCAAGTTTCCTTATTACATATAATGCTAGCTTTTTGATTTTAGAGAGGTTTTCAGCTGTTTGGTCTTTTCAGTATTGTCTGACTGTTCCTAACCCCATTTGGGGTTTTTTTTGGTAAAGATGCTGAAGTGGTTTACATTTCCTTCTCCATTTAGACAGATCCTTTAAAAAATTATTAATTTATTTTTAGTTTTCAACACTTCCATAAGCTTTTGATTTTTAAATATTCTTCCCCTCCCTTCTTGGCTCCCTCCCCAAGACAGTGTGCAATCTGAGGTAGGCTCTACATATACATTCCTATTAAATATATTTTCACATTAGCCATGTTGTAAAGAAGAATTAGAACCAATAGGAGGAACCATAAGAAAGAAGAAACAAAAAAACAAAACAAAAGGAAAAAAAAGAGCAAATAGTACACTTCGATCTGCATTCAAACTCCATAGTTCTTTCTTTGGATATGGATAGCATTTTCCAGCATAAGACTTTTGGAGATTTCTTAGATCCTTGCATTGTTGAGAGAGCTAAGTCTATCAAAGTTAGTCTAGATAGGTACTTTTTATCATGTTAAAGTGCTCACTGATTAATTGGTATGCTCTAAATGCTTTGACTAGATTTTGACCTATTATAGCTATCTGTATGTCTAAAGAAATGAGAGTGAGCCAGTCAAACAAAAGACAAACATTGTGGTTACATGACATGAGAATAAAATGGTAGAATAAAGACAGTGAAGGCCTATATTATGGTACTGGTAATGGGAGTAAAGAGGGGTGAACAATTACAAGAAATGTAGTGGTAGAATTGGCATGGCTTGGCAACTGGTTGATAATGAGAGATTAGGGGAAAGGGAAGGTTTTGAACATGCGCACTTCACAAATGGTTTTGCCATTGAAGGAAACAATCAAATCAGAAGGAAGAACAAGTTTAAGAAGAAAGATGGTAAGCATGTTGAATTTGAGGTGTAGGTGAGACGTCAAGGTAAAGATGTCCTTTAGACAGCCAAGGACTGGAGCTCAGAAGAAAGCTGGAGCTATCAATTTGGAAATCATTGTCATAGACATTGTTGTTGAAGTTGTGGGGATCTGTGAAATTAATAAGGAGAGATGATCATAAGAAGAGAATCAGTTCAAGGACAGAACCTTGGGGACCACCAATCTTAAGGGGGTGAAAAAAAAGGTTCAGAGCTAATGAAAAAGACAAAGGAGTGGTTAGAAAGGTAGGAGAAGAATGAAGAAAGTGTGGTATCTCTGAAGCCAAAGAAAAATGGTTATTATTATTATTTTTGTATCTTCTAAGATTTAAAGTAAGAGGCAGTTTCCAGATAATAATACTGGCAAATAGTTCACTGCTGAATAATATATAAGTTCCTTCCAAAAAATGTAATTGTTTAGTATGGTTGGATTTGGATGAATTTTGTCCTAAGAAACTACGCCCATAAAATATACATATTTCAACAGTGACATTTTGGTTTTGGTTGGATCCGTGCATAAAATAAAATGAAGTAAAACAGATAAAAGATGTCCAGTAAAACTCAAGATCCAAAACCAATAGCATTTTCTAAGTTTCTTTGAGCATTTAAAATGGATTTAACTGTATTTTTTTAGAGTCATGAAATAAAAAAATTGATCCTTGTTAAAGGTGGTAAACTTTGTATACTTTGGTGATCTCACTCAGATATCATTATAGTAACTGAGACATAGCATCTTAAGATTTGAAAAGTGCTTTCCTCTCATAAAACCTGTGAGAGAGGTAACATGAGTATTATTATCCCCATGTTGCAGATTAGGAAACTGGGACCATGAAAGGGTAAATGACTTGCCTGTAGCCTGTAGCTAAAGTTCTTGTTTGAAGCAGGATTTGAACTCATCTCCTGACACTAAGTCTAGCCCTATATGTACTATTCCCACATTCTAGAGATTGCTATAAATATATAAACTTTTAAAAATCTCATTGCACAGTCCAGTTTATTGCAATTAGCTTGTTCTTGGAATCTTCATGTTATATATGACTTTCAAAATTACTTTTAGCTAGGTCTGTGCTAGAAAAGTAGAGAAAAAACTAGTCATTAATAAAAATAAAATAAATTGTCACTTGAAATATGAATATGATGGAGGAAAAAATGGCTTTTTTATATGAATTATGTAGACAATTGGTCTAATTCTCCTTTCTACTTTACTTATATAGTATAGGTCTGGCCCTCTGACAAAGGTTTTGACTATCAAGCAAATTTAACACTTCAGCTGTTTACTATGTCTTAAATCTGACCATTTTGGAGTCCCTTCAAGTGAGCCAGATGAGAAACTACTTAATTAGGATTTTAATTATTTTCTTGCGTTCTGATAGTGTCTGTGCGTCACTGAGAAGCAGCTTGGTTCTGCAATTTCTCAGCTGCTAACACGGTTCCCTAAGGCGGTGTTTGTTGTAAATTCCCAGCTCCAGGGAACACAAGATAGATACCGCATACTGCATTGTAGGGTGGTAACTCAGTCAGGCCAGCTTGAACTCTTGCTGTGGTCTGAACTCCATCATCTCAGTGGGACGTAACTGTCTCAGTTCAGTAGGAAGAAGCCAGTGTATTTTGGCTTTGGAATCATGTTGTATCTTTGAACTTCTCTGCGTTCCTACAGTGATTGAGTTCTGAGTAATAGAGTAGAATCATGTAGTTAAAGACTCTAGCTAGCATTTAACTACACTATGAGAAAAGTGTGTGTGTGTGTGTGAATAAAGCTCACATAATGGAATGACAGATATTTTCCATTAATAAAGCTAAAGTTGAGAATGGCAAAATTAGCTTCATTAGAAAAACTACTTCTAGCCAAGATGTGACAAATAAATTCTCCCTTAGGCATGGAGAGATTGCAGGAAATATGCATTGTTAAGGGCAGAAGCTATGAGTTTTAGACATTTTAGTTTATGTTGCAAGGAAATCTGCTAATGGTTCCTGTGAAGGAGCTCTGTTTCATGTTTTTTAAGAACTGTTAGTTTAAAAAAAACTGTTACAGAGTCAGAGTTCTTAACTTTTTAGGGGTGTCATGGACCCCTTTGGGAGTCTGGTGAACCCTTCTTAGAATCATGTTGGGTTTTTTAACATTTTATTTTTTCCCTTTTTTCCAATGTAAAGACAAATTTCAACATTCATTTTTTAAAATTCAGGGTTCCAAATTTTCTCCCTCTTTCACTTCTCCCCTTCCTAAGATGGTAAGCATAGAATTATGTTTTAAAGCACTTAAAATAAAGTACACAGAACTACAAAGGAAATCAATCATATGAAATCATAGTTGTCAAAATATTTTAAAGAAAAAATTCATGGGCCCTAGCTTAAGAATCCTGGGCATGAAGGGTGGATGTACTGGATTTGGATAAGTCACCTAACCTTCTCAGAGCCTTATTTTCCTCCTGTACAAAATGGAAACAATAATATGTATAGTACTTGCTTCACTGTGTTTTTGTGAAGTTCACGCAAAACATAAATGTAAAATGTAAAAAAAATTTTTACTATATATGGATGTCAGGTTTTATTATTAATTATAAGTAGAATATCATTTGGGTAATAGCCAAACAAATTATGGTGTATGAATATGATGAAATACTACTGTGCTATAAGAAATGATAGAGATGTTTTCAGAAAAACTTGGGAAGACTTAAATAAACTGATGCAAAGTGAAGTGAGAGCAATCTGGAGAACAATCTATACAGTAACAACAATCTATACGGTAAAGATAACCAACTATGAAAGACTTAGTAATTCTGATCAATACAATAATCCACCACAACCCCAAATGAAGCATTGTGTAAAATACTTTCTACCTCCAGATAAAGAACTGATGGACTCAGAGTACAGATTAAAGCATATTTTTTCCCTTTATTTTCTTGCTTTTTTTTTCAGAACATGACTAATGAAGAAATATTTTGCATGACTTCATATGTCTAATGGGTATTTTATTTCTTGTCTTCTCAATGAGTAGAGGAGGGAAGGAGAGAATTTGGAACTGAAGATAAATTTTTTAAAAAAATAAGTGGAATAAAATGATAATTTAGTTCTTAAAAATTAGCTCCTTGGTGCCACACAAATATCAGTTGAAGAAAACAGAAATATCCAATACAGAGAAGAAAAGACTTAGAAAGAGAATGATGGTAATCTCAAAGCATTAGTAGATATGTCGTCGGAAAGATGGGTTAGACTTTTTCTGTTTGACCCCAGAGGGCTAAATGAGGAAAGATGAATGGAAGTGGCAGAAGCAAATATGGGTTCCATATAAAGAAAAAAAATTTTAAACATTAGCACTCTCCAAAAGTAGAATCAGTCACTTCAGAGGTGGCAGGTTCTTTTTCACCAGAGGGATTGAAGTAAGTTCAAAATGATCACTTGTCAGAGACTTTGAAGAAGGGATTCTCATCTCCATGTGCACTGGACTCGATGGCCTCTGGAATGCCTTCATTTTCAGCTTCTGTGAAAACAGGACAAAAGATGGTAAGAACTTTCATAGGACTGGAAGGAGATATAGAACAAAACATTCTCTTTCCTTGTTTGTTATTTGTCAATTCTTTTCTTTTGCCTTGTTAAAGTCTGGGTGGCTGAAGTGAGATTTTTGCCAACTATCTCATTTTTTGCTGACAGTTATTATGTTTGTAATTTAATTTTTTAAAATATCTCTGCATTTGTTGTAGATGACTATTAACTGATGCTGTCTAGAAAAGATTCAGTACTGCTCAGAGCTGAACAAAAACTGGGTCTGCATAGGGCAGCTAGGTGACGCAGTGGATAGAGCACCGGCCCTGAAGTCAGGAGGACCTGAATTCAAATCCGGCCTCAGACCAAACACTTGACATGTACTAGCTGTGCGACCCTGGGCAAGTCACTTAACCCCAATTGCCTAAACAAATCAAAAAAACCAAAAAACTCGGTCTGCCTAGATGATACGCCAGGGGTTGATTGCTAAAAGTAACAGGAAACCTCCTACTTCTTGTTGAGACTCTGAGGATGATGCTGTACTAAGTATATTGCATTGTACTTGGATTTGATGCATAATAGCTATAGGAACAATCAACAAATGGTTTTTTAAAATTCTGAAATGGGCAATTGCAATCATGTAGAATTACTATGTGCGATCGATCCATAATTATCTGCACCTCTTCTGTAGTCACTTCCAGATTTCTGCTATCAGTATGCAGTGAGGCAGCATGGTGTAGTACAGATGTTAACTTTTTTCTCTCATGGACCCCTTTGGCAGTTTGGTGAAGGTTACAGACCCCTTCTCAGAACAATTTTTAACTGCATAAAATAAAATACACAGGACTACAAAAGAAACCAGTTATACTGAAATGTAGCAAACTATTATTATTATTATTATCTAACTATTTTTATCAAATATCAATCATCAAGCTATTTCATCAAACTATTTTTAAATATTATTATAAAACTATTTTTTAAAAATAAATTCATAATTAATAATGTCTTGACTGTAGAAGAGACTGCATTGAATTTGGAGTGTGAAGACCTGCCTTAGCTCTACCATTTGCTGATTGAGTATTAGGTCACTTCATTTCCCCAAATTTCACTTTACTAATCTGTAAAATGGATATAATGATGCTTAGATTACCTATCTCAAAAGGCTTTTGTGATGAAAACTTTTCATAAGTCTAAAGATTTTATAAAATATATGGAAACCATTATTATTATAAATCACCACCAGAGGTTTGGCTACTGTGACTTTTTTTTCCAGTCTTAGCACCTCATAATAATGCTACATGTCCTAAGGCATGGACAAAGCAACAACCATTGAAGAAATAATGGACCCTTAAGGTATTGAAAGATGATGATGATGATGATGATGATGATGAATCCTCAGGAAGATTTAAATTATGCTGACCTTTGACAGGGAATTCATACATACAAACCAAATTTTCATCAGTCATATAGAGTAATAAGAATTCATATTTATGGTTTACAAATCATTTTCCATTACAATCCCATGATGTAGAGAATGCAAGTAATCCTGTTCCCATTTAATGGACAAAAATACTGATGTTCAGAAAGGTCATGCAGCTAGTCAGATCTGAGACTTAGATCCAGATCTTTTGATTCCTAGTCTAACACTCTTTCTGCTACACAATGTGGTGATAACTGAATTCTGTGACTCCATAGCAGAGTCTCCATTGTGGGGAGAAAAATAATGTAATTTGAAAGGCCAGCAGGCCTTCTGGGAAGCTCATAGACAGCATGGCACCAAGGCCCAGAGCCAACTGCAGGTCTCTGACTATTAGTAATGTTCAGCGCTCTGTGTGGGTGCCAGGCTTAGATCTGCCAAAGTGTTATATCCAAATTTCTGGAGGAGTTTCATGAGCTCCATCTATCTCAGGGCCAAACTTGACTCATTCAAAGGGAAGACTAGACAACCTATCAACTGATAATACAGAAATGTCCAGTACCCTAGTGTTGAAGTTATGTTCATTGTAAAAATCACTCTACTAGGCTAGAAAGGTAAAGCATGCATGAATAAGAACTGATTATTAAAATCTCTGGGGAACTATAGGGTGAAGAGGTCAGCTAAAGGCTTTAAAGGCTTCAAGGCTAAGCTAAAACATATTTGGTTTTTTTAGAAATGTGTTTCATAGAGATTGGTTTCATAGTATTTTAAAGTTGGAATGGAATTTGGAAATCATTCTCTCCAACTCACTCTTTCCTTTGCTCCTTCCCAGCTAAAAAACTGAAGCCTCAAGAGGCTGTGACCTTCCCTATGTCACACCACTATTTAGTGCAGAGAACTAGGACAAAAAATCTCCTCTTCGGACACCCCGGCCAGTTTCTTTCCAGACTACAGGGATCAGGAATGAACCAAATACAGCTTGATAGCAGTAACATTGTATTGTTTTTAGAAGTGTTTCAGCAGCTTCTAGAAACAGACCTTATTTGACAGATCCGAAGAGGATTTGCTTTGTTTTTGAATTACATGTTACAGCAAATAGATTTAGCAGAATTTCAATATATGTAGCCTGTATGTTCAATTCAAGTTCCACAGATTTAGAGCTGGAAGGCACCTCAGAAGCCGCTTCTTTTCATAGATGAGAAAACTGAGACCTGTGGAAGGTAAATGACTTGCTTAGGGTCACATAGGATTTGGTAGCAGAGACAAGATATGAACACAAATGATCTTAATCTAGGTTCAACGCTTTTTCCATTTAGCATGGTGCCAAATAGGCACAAGACATTGTGATTTACATGGATGATGCAAAGATGAAGTTGACCCAGATTCTGCTTTCAAGGCACTAAGGAAAAATACAAAATAAATGTAATACAAGGTAGAATGAGACAGAGAGAGGAACAGGCAAGGAGAAAGAAAGGCAGACAGAGAGACAGTAGAGAGGGACAAACAGACAGAGACAACCAGACCTCTAGATAGGTCCTCTAGGAAAACTGGAGGAAAGAGATCATTTTCAAATGAGGGATTCAAAGAAGAATTGTAGGATTTGGAACTGAAAGGGGCCTTATCAACTATCTAGCCCAGCCCTTTCATTTCACAGATAAGGAAACTGAGTCCCAGGGAAGTTAAGTAACATTTCCTATATATATTGAAAAGCACAACCAGTATTCAAATCCAGATCCTTTGACTTCTAATCCAGTGATCTTTCTTCTATACAAGGGTAATTCATTCCTCACCTGGGCCTAGGAGGAAGAGAAAGTAGCCCTAGCTAATAGTTCAGTCCTGATATTTTTAAAGACCCAGGAAACTAATCAAGGAGACTATCCCGCATTGGGTTCCATGTTAGCGAAACTGGGCATGCTCAAAAGGCCTGTCCAAGTTACACTAAGATTCTTACTTATAAGCTTGCAGGAACTGGGGAAAGGTATTTTGTCATCTTCCTTTAGAATAAGTCATTTGACCTATTTGTCTCAGTTTTGCTAAGTCTTGTTGTAAACTAAAATTTAATCTGTCACTCAACATTTTTATTTATTAAGTACCTACTATATGCCAGGTACTATGCTAAATGTAGGAAATTAAAAAAAATCCACAAAAGACAATCTCTACTCTCAAGGAGCTCACAGACTAATGCGGAGACAACATGAAAACATCTATGTACAAACAAGCTATTTATAGAACAACTTGCACTTAATCAATGGAGGGAATATACTAGAATTAAGGGAGATCAGGAAAGGTTTCCCAAAGAAGGTGAGATTTTAGCTGGGATCTGAAGGAAAGTGGGGAAGCCAGGAAGTGAAAAAGAGGAGGGAGAGAATTCCAGGCATGTAGGTAGCCAGTGAAAATGCCTAAAGGTGAGAGATCGAGTGTCCTGTTTGACATACAGTGAGGAAGCCTGTGGTTTTGGATCGTAGAATATGGGGGTAAGGAGAGGAAGAGAGGTGTAAGACTCAAAAGTTAGTAGAAAAGACTGGGTCGTGAAGGGCTTTGAATTCCAAACAGATGGTTTTTTAAAATTTAATATTTTATTTCCCCAAAAAAACATATAAAATATTTTTAACATTCATTTAAAAAATTTTTGAGTTCCAAATTCTCTTCCTCCCTTCCTCCCCTCCCACTCATTGAGAAGGCAAGCAATTTGATATAGGTTATACATGTGCAGTTATACAAAACGTATTTCTATCTTGGTCATGTTGTGAAAGAAAACACAGACCCCCCCAAAAAAAAAACAACCCAGCAACAACAACAACCCAAGAATAATAAAGAAAGTAAACAAAAAGTATACTTTGATCTATATTCAGACTACATCAGTTCTTTCTCTGGAGATGGATGTCATTTTTCATAGTTAAGTCCTTCAGAACTGTCTTGGATCATTGTATTGCTGAGAACAGCTAAATCATTCACAATTGATCATCATACAATGTTGCTGTTACTGTATACAATGTTCTCCTGGTTCTAATAATTTCACTTTGCATCAGTTCATGTTAAGTCTTTCCAGGTTTTTCTGAGAGCATCTTGCTCATCGTTTCTTATAGCACAATATTATTCCATCACAATCATATACAATAACTTGTTCAGCCATTGCCTAATTGATGGGCATACCTTCGATTTCCAATTCTTTGACACCACTAAAAGAGCTGCTATAAATATTTTTGTACCTATAGGTCCTTTTCCTTTTTTTTTTTTATCTCTTCAAGATAACAGACATAGTAGTGGTATTGTTTGGTCAAAGGATATGTGTGGTTTTATGGCCTTTGAGCATAGTTCCAAATTGTTCTACAGAATGGTTGAATCAGTATACAACTTCACCAACAATGCATTAGTGTCTCAGTTTTCCCACATTCCCTCCAACATTTGTCATTTTCCTTTTCTATCATAGTAGCCAATCTGATAGGTGTGGGGTGGTAGTTTGAGTTGTTTCAATTTGCATTTCTCTAATTAATAGATTTAGAACATTTTTTCATATTACTATAGGTAGCTTTGATTACTTCATCAGAAAATTGCCTGTTGATGTTCTTTGACCATTTATCAGTTGAGGAATGACCTTTATTTCTATAAATTTGATTCAATTCTCTATACATTTGAGAAATGAGATCTTTACACAGAAACTTGCATAATATTTTTTCGCTGTTATGATTACTAACTCTGTATTCCCTTCCATCCTATTTTCCCTCTCTTTATCCTACCTCCTCTCTCCTTTCACCCTGTCCATTTTCAAAAGTATTTTGCTTCTGACTTTTACCTTCCCCAACCCACCCTCCTTTCTATAAACCTTCACCCTTTCTCTCACCCCGTTCCCCTCCTATTTTCCTATAGGGTAAGATAGATTTCTATACCCAATTGAGTGTGTATGTTATTTCCTCTTTGAGCCAATTCCAATGAGAATAAGATTCATGTCCTCTTCCCCTCCCCTCCCCCATCTTCCCCTCCACTGTGAAATCTTTTTATGCCGTTTATGTGAGATAATTTACCCCATTCTACCTCTCCCTTTCCCCTTCTCCCAGTATATTCCTCTTTCTTACCCCTTCCAGAGCCACTACTGTTACTGATTCAGTTGCCTCCAAATTGCCTCAAAGGCCTACTGCTTAGTTTGCTGGGGCACGGCATACAAGGACTGCACTCCACTCTCTCCCTGGTGCAACAGACCTTTCCTGCCAACCTTCTAAGCTGTCTTTGGCTGGAAAATTGATTGACCCCATCCTTTTGTGGGTTCTATTGCTTCAGAATTTATTTTGAGGCATTATTTAAAGTTTTTTGGAGGAGTTTTGGTGAGAGCTCAGGTGAGTCCCTGCCTTTTCTCTGCCATGTTGGCTCCAAACAAATAGATGACTTTATATTTGATCCTAAAGGTGATAGAGAGCCACTGGAGTTTATTCAGTAAAGAAGTGACATGGTCAGACCTAAGCTTTAAGATCACTGTGGCAGCTCATTACCATAAGTTTATTTTGGTGTTGCATCTTTGCAGGTTTATTCTACTTCCTGAATAATGGTTTCAGATTAGTTACGCCTGTTTAAAAAGTTCAATCTCATTTCATTTTGATCTATTCATTTATGTTATTAATCTGACCCTGCTGGTGTTAACCTAACTTCCCAATTTAATAATCATCTAAGAAATCTATCTTCTAGGTCATTAATAATATTGTTAAAGAAGACTGGCCTTCAAACCTATCTTACCTCTAAATATTTTTGCATACCTAATACATTATCATTTATCATTACTTGTTATTTACACTCCTGGAACAATTTTTCAATCTGTGTGGCAGTAGTATTATCCAAGCCAATCTGAATTAGTTTCATAAGTAATTTCATATGACAATATATCAAATAACTCACTGTGGTCCAATTATATAATATCCACTAAGTTTCCTCTTCCACTCATTTTGTAATTTTTTTTCTAATATGATTCACTCTTAATAAATGCTGACTCTAACTGATATAATTTCCTATTCATCTAAGTGCTTATAAGTTTCCCCTTAATATCTGTTATATTATTTTTACCTTGAATTGCCCTTGGTATCTAGACAGTGTTATGGTTTTGAAAGGAAAATACCCCATTTCCTTTTTGACAGTTCATTCCCATTATCCTTGTCCTATGTGAGCAATTCAGAAACCAATTTAATGTTGGTTAACCAAATCTCTCAAGGTATTTTTCTATTTATGTAGTCTAGGTGAGATTTCCTGGCCAGTTCAGATGCTTCCTGGGAGGACCAAGTGCTGTTTTCTTCCACAAAGGCAGAGAACAAGTTTTATGGTACCAGTGAAACTTTAGTCTGATATTATGTGGTCCCTTCCAAGGGACCACGTAATATCTATCAGTGTAGTATTATAATACTGTATATATAATACTGTAGTATTATCTATCAGTGTAGAAACACCTCTGATGTTTAAGATACAGACTACCAGGATTTAATTAAATATAGTCAACTCTTGATAATCTATACTAATGAAGGGAAGCATTAGCACAGATAATTCAAAATAGTGGGTAATTCCCAAATCATTTATATTTACATTTGATTTTGGAATATGTTTTTGTACTTACACTTGAATGGAGGTATTTCTTACACTCAGGAAATTTATAGCACTTCAAATAAAATAATGAAACCACATTGGGCACATTGGATTGAGGGGGAGCTGGAAAAGTATTTAGTATTCCCATCCTGGTCCTTGTCCCTTGTGTTAAGGGTAGAGAGCATTACCTTTCAGTAGACTAAAAGTACCTCAGTGTATTCATGATCTCATCAGTACTGGTACTTCCTTTACTGATGCAGATTATAACCAACCCTGCCTTCTCTACTAGTATTTATATGCCCCTACATCATTACCCCTTCTTTCTGGAGGAGTTCAGTACTTTACTCAAAAGCTTTTGCTGCACCCAAACCTGAGCTTTGACCTTGGAGACTTCAACCTACATAGCAATATCCCTTAAAGTAGTCTTGCTTCCTAGTTTATCAGTCTCTTCAGCTCCAGTGATTTGCATTACCAACTCATCTCAGCCACACTCAGAGAGAATCAGGCCTTCCAGCTCATGATCACCCAGCAAGCGTTACCCCTCCACAATCCATGCATTCTTTTCTAACCATAGTATCTAATTCTTCCAGCTTTTCTTATGCTTTCCCCTCATCATGATCTCCTGATTCTTTGTCTTCACTGCAACCGCCAGCCATTTCACTTTTCTCTGATTTTCTAGGCCACCATCCTTGCTCTAGCCTCAGTCAGTCAACTAGCATGTATTGTGTGCTTACTAAATGCCAGATACTATACTAAGCAATGGAGATACAAAAAGAAGCAAAAATGGTTCCTCGCCTCAAGGAACTCATATTCTAATATGATAGACAACATGCAAAAAATTGTACCTATAAAATATATACAGTGGAAAAGGAAGGTAATCTCAGAGGGAAGACGCTAACATTAAGAGAGACTAGGAAACGCTTCTTATAGAAGGTAAGATTTGAGCTATCTTGAAGGTAGTCAGGGAAGCCAGAAGGTAGAGGTGAGGAGGGAGAGTATTCCAAGCACGGGGGATGACCAATGGAAAGTCATGGAGTGGGAAGATGGAGTGTCATCTATGAGGAACAGAAAGCAGGCCAATGTCACTGGACCCTACTATATATGGAAGGTAGCAAAGTGTGAAAAGATTAGAAAGGAAGGAGTCAGGTTGTGACGGGAACCAAAAACACAGTTAACTGTGCTTCCGGGATCTATTATACAAATTAAGTCATCCAATCTCAATTATTCCCACAGTGCTGTACTCCAGTCCTTTCACTCTTTCCTAATCTACCTTCTGTCACCCTCCCTGAACTGTTCTAAGCCTTTCCTTCTCTTCATGGGCCACCTATACCACCACCTTCCCTGCTACCTTTTTGTTTTGTTTTTTAGGCAATTGGGGTTAAGTGACTTGCCTAGGGTCACACAGCTAGTAAATGTCAAGTGTTTGGTCTGAGGTTGGATTTGAACTGAGGTCCTCCTGACTTCAGGGCTGGTGCTCTATCCACTGTGTCACCTAGTTGCCCTTCCCCCCCTCCAACCTTTTAACAGAAGACTTTGTCTCATACTTCACTGTGTAAACAATACAAACACCTTTTCCCCCAGTTCTACTCTTCAAATCACCTCAGCATTATCCCCTATCCTCTCCTCCTCTGTTCCACTCTTAGAGAATGAAATTACCCTTCTTCTTGCCAACAGCAACCTCTCTATTTGTGCCTTTGAATCAGGGAAGCAACCTTTGGGGAGATGTGACCTGCTAATTTTTTCTCTGCAATGTTTCATCCTTTACCTCCTCAGAATTCATAGCTATAGAAGACTCAGAAAAGAAAGTTCTTGTCATCAAAGTCTTTGACACTGTCAAATGATTCAATGTCAGAAACATATCGTTTTGTCAGTGAAAATGACACTAAAAATGATGTATTACCATCTCCTTTGCAACTATGTACTACGGACCATGGAGTCTTTCTATCTGGCTTACAGCTTAATGCTCTGGTAAGATATCATATTCTATTAAAATATTAGCTCTTTGAAGGGTCTTTCTTGATTTGCATCCCCAGTACTTAACAAATAGGAAGCATTTAATAAGGGCTTTTTTGTTCATTCATTCATTCATTCATTCATTCATTCCTTTCTCTTCTATCTCCTACAGGAACTCGTCCTTTCACTCATTCCCTCTCTCTCCCTAATTTTCAACTTTTCCTTATCCACTGAATTTTTATTTGCTACCTACAAATATTTCCATATATCCCTACTCTTTAAAAAAAATGCTTCACTTAATTCTACCATCTCCTTAGATTACTGTTCTATAGTTCAGCTAAAACCTCTGGTTGAGCATCAGTATGAGACTGAAAGTTTATACAGTACTTCACGAACTTTAAAGTGGTATATAAAAGTTATCATCACGGGGCAGCTAGGTGGCACAGTGGATAGAGCTCCGGCCTTGGAGTCAGGAGGACCTGAGTTCAAGTCTGGTCTCAGACCAGACACTTGAGACTAGCTGTGTGACCCTAGGCAAATCACTTAACCCCAATTGCCTGACCAAAAAAAAAAGTTATCATCATCATTATAATGGTTATTACTGAAAGAGCTATAGCCCTTCCTTGTAAGGGAGAGGCTTATTAACCATAGCACTCCACTAGAAGATAATAGAGGTGATTGAAAGAGCCAAGTGAAAAAAAAGATATCACCTTTCCCTAAAGAAGAAAAACATAACAACCTTGAAAAATAAGTTGATGAAGACCGCATAATATGAAGTTCAGCAAGGAGCAGAGGCTACAGTGCCTGGTGGAGATTAGGAGAAACACTATCTGGAAGAGAGAGAACCCAAAAGAGAGCAGCATAAGGATCTCACCAGGAGACAGAGGCATGATTTATCCCTCCAAGCATGTGCCCTGGACACAAGTGTCCTCCTGTATACATTCTCATGTCATTCCTATGTGTCTGTCCACTCATTCAGGGTTTGTGAATTTGTGGGAAAATGATCACAAGGTTTATGTGAAAATACTCTATCTGCAATCATACAGCTCCATAAGGTGTCTGCAGTTGTAACTTCTTAAAAGAAAATGTAGTCCCTAAAAAGTGTGCTTAACTTGTGTCCAGGTCACTCCCTAGTTAGTGGCTGGAGTTACATGAAAAGTGTAATGAAAGACCTCATCAAACTGGAAAGTCTAATATCCACCCTAGTGTATTTTTACATTCTTATACAGAAAGATCCAGTTAAAGTCAAAGGACTGCACTTCACTTAGATGTAAGTGTGATATGTATCCAGGCATAAGACCTCTTCAAAGTACACTAAAAAAACCAACACTAGGGCAATGACTATAAAAATCACTATAAAACACAGAAATAAATATGAGTGGAAAATTAGAAAAATGTAGTTATTTCAGTGAAATTATGGAATATAAAAAGGGATGCAATAAGTAAAGAAACTATAATTCCATTAAATGTTTTCCTAGATTTATTAAACTCAATAAATACAAGTTTTCTGAATTTAAAAAAATTTTTCTTATGAAGTGGTCAGTTTTAAATGAACACTTAAAATATGAATGTGAAAAGAAAAGAAAAGAAAAGAAAAGAAAAGAAAAGAAAAGAAAAGAAAAGAAAAGAAAAGAAAAGAAAAGAAAAGAAAAGAAAAGAAAAGAAAAGAAAAAAGAGTGAGAACAAAGTACTGTAAGGCATTTTCTCATTCTGCCTGAGTGTGTTCTATTGACAGCACTCCAAAATCCTGCCAGCCTGGCAAGCCAGAGGCAGGGAGAAAACTGCAGGTGTAGCACATGGCCGAGCAGAGCCTCATCTTCAGACCACCAGGCCATTCTGCTAATGTGTTTTTGTATTTTGTAATTAAATAAAGATGCTGTGTAATGCTGAAATATCTATTTACTAGACGGAGTCTCTTGAGGTACCCAAGGTGCATCTAAAAAACATTTCACAGATATGTCTGAAGTTGTGTATTGGGTTTGGATTATTTTCTTTTATTTGAAAAGCCAATACATCCTTATTAAAAGTGTCTTTGAATGATATTTGTTACTTAAAGAGGGAATGCCTTATGTTAATTATGTTTCTGGTCCCTTGATTTCGTTGACAGTTCCCAATGCATATACCAACATCACCAGATCATTATGACTGATGATCATTTGCAGAGTAAACAAAAAATGGTGTCCCAGGATGCACCACTTCCAGGATTTCTCCTGCCTTTGGAGCAAGTTGCCACATTGCAAATATGACAACAAATGAAATGATGATAGCATCTGCTTAATCTGGCTTTTGTCCATGTGTCACAACTGCCATGTATTGAGGGTAATTGAGACTTTTTTTTATTTGCTTAAGTCTCTTTTGTTCATTTAATTTTCCCTGACGTGATCTTACTTCAATCATCTTTGACTGAAACACTGTCAATTTTTAATGGAGATGTATTTCTTCATCTTTAATTTTTAAGAAAAAGGCATACCAAACATTTGCTCTGTCATGGTTAATTTTGTTGAAATTATGTTAAATACACCAAGACTATCAATGCTGTTTGGTCTTAAACCATAATTTGTATTTGAGGTAACAGTCCTTAGTATACAGTGTATGGTCAATAAATGTTAATTGATGATAACCATGCTTTTTAGCCAATAAAGTAATAACCAGAAGGAAAGGCAAGAATAATCATGAAGTCATTCTGGATCCCTCTGGTACTCCCTTTGTTCAAGAAGCACTAATTGAACTTCTTTTTCTTTTCTTTTTTTTTTTTGCCTTTGAAATCAGAATAATATTTTTTTAGCCCCTAAGAAGGATATTCGACTTAGTAAAGGACTAGACTTTGCCAAGAAGTAAACTAGTAAATCTAGCACAGCCATTCTTCCTCAAGGCAAGTAGGTGTTCTACACAAAGATGTTATTCATAAATAGAAACTAGTATGCCATATAAAAGATTTCATTTTCTACAAGAACAAAATTAGCAAATGAATCATTTAACTATAATAATATTTTACACAAGCATACTAGAGGGAAATTAGATGATTAAGTTGTCTAGACCAAAATAGGGTTAGCCTGGTCTCTTCTCCAAGACTGAAGATGCCAAACTGATATGTGGTTTAGTTCTATCTATGTTTTGGTTAATTTAATTACATTTGTGGCTACCTTTGCTATCATGGCTGCTGATCACTCTATTTAAACCAACCCTCACCAAAGGAGATGGGGAGTTATCACATTTCTGATGCATGTTAAATTCCACTCATAACAAACTCTAGAGTCTCAATGGTAATAGCTATATGATGGTAAACTCTTCTATTAGATTGTAATTTCAGTTAATCAGGCTCCTTATTTGTCTCAAATTTGAATCCCTACTTCTCCATACCCCATGGCTTAGTAAAGTACCTAGGATACAGTGAAAACCCCATAGCAATTTTTGAAAGACTTGTGAGACCCTGTCACTGGGTACTACTGCTTTCCCCCTGGATAAGAATGGAGTAGCCCCAGTATACAGTCAATATTGCCCTCTAGTGGTTATCTTAGCTAAATAGGTTCTAATGCTAGACCTGAGATTCTCCATTATTGATAATAACTACCCATTAGTACCAGTGCCATTTTGAGATGGGTTTTATTCTCACTGTTTTCTCCAAAAATTTATATATGATAGATTTTAAGTGCCCTTTAAAAAAAGCTGATCTGTTGTGGTAATGGCCATGCTAAATTAACAAAGTAAATAAAACTACATTATACGTAGGATGAGGAAAATAAGGAATATGTTAAATATTCATAATAATAGAGTAATATTCTCATTTCTGAGAATTTCATTATTGCACAGATTCCAATAAAATAGAAATGGGATGCCTCAGCAGGCATTGGATTCCTTCTGCTTGCTAGAGGTCTTCAAGGAAAGGAAGGATGACCACTTGATGGGGATGTTGCAGAGGTATGGTTTAGACCAGATGGCCTGTGAGGTCCTGCCAAAATGATTCTATGAAACTAGTAGCAGGAAGATTTGAGTCATATGATAATAATGATAAGGATAATAGCTAACATTAGGAGAGTGCTTTGAGGTTTGCAAAGCACATTAAGGGTATTATCTCATGTGATTCCCCCAACAGCTCTGTGGGGTAGGTATTATTATTATTATTATTATTCCCATTTTACAGATGAAGAAACTGAGGCTTAGAGGACTTGCTTAGTCATATGACTAAGTGTATGAGGCAGGATTTTCCTGACATAAAGTCCATCCACCATGTGACCTAGCTGCCTCAGTAGAGTAAGGGTGCTTTATAGTTTAATGCTGATATTAAATCAATACATAAACATTTATTTATTTTAGGCAATTGGGGTTAAGTGACTTGCCCAGGGTCACACAGCTAGTGAGTGTCAAGTGTTTAGTCTGAGGTTGGATTTGAACTCAGGTCCAGTGCTCCATCTACTTTGGCCACCCAGCTGCCCCAATACAAAAACATTTATTAAGCACCTATTATGTGCCAGGCACAGTGCTTAGCACTGGGGATACAAAAAGAGGCAAAAGATAGTCCCTGCCCTAAAGGAATTTACAATCTAATGAGGGAGACAACATGTAAACAAATAAATACAATAGCCATATGCAAGATAAATAGAACATGATTAGGAGAGGGAAGACACTGTAATTAAGAGGGGTTAGAAAAGTTTTCCTGTAGAAGATGGGATCTTAACTGGGACTCAAAGGAAGCCAGGGGTGTCAGTAGTCAGAGTGGAGGAGAAAGAACATTCCTGGCATGAGGGACAGCCAAAGAAAATGTCTAGAGCCAAGAGATAGAGGATCTTCTTCATAGAACAGCCAGAAGGCCAGTGTCACTGGATTGAAGAGCATATGTCAGAGAGTAAGGTTTAAGAAGACTGGAAAGGTAGAAGGGGTACAGGTTGTAAAGGGCTTGGAATGCCAAACTGAGCATTTTGTATTTGATCCTAGAGGCAATAGGGAATCAATGCCTATTGCTAGGCATATACCCTAAGAAGGTCTTTAACAAAAAGGAAGGTTTCTTATACACCAAAATATTTATAGCAGCACTTTTGGTGACCACAAAGGACTAAAATCAAAGCAGGCATCCATCAACTAGGGGATGACTAAACAAAATGTAGTATGTTAACACATTGGAATGCTATTGTGCTGAAAGAAATAATGAACAAGCTGAATACAAAGAAGCATAGAAAAAAATCATATGAACTGATATTAAGTGAAACTGAGCCAGAAAAATAACATACACAATGGCTACAAGGTAAATGGAAAGAATCACAAAATCATTAAAAAATTAATTCTGTGACATTATTAAAAAAAAAAGCTGGCCCCAAAGAAGAGATACAAGAAGACACCTTCCCTCAATTCTTTTTAACTTTTTTTTTAGGCAATTGGGGTTAAGTGACTTGCCCAGGGTCACACAGCTAGTAAGTGTGTTAAGTATTTGGTCTGAGGCCAGATTTGAACTCAAGTCCTCCTGACTTTAGGGCTGGTGCTCTATCCACTGTGCCACCTAGCTGCCTTCTTTCCTCAATTCTTTGCAGAGGTATAGAACATTGCATACAAGTCAGATTCTTTTTTTTCAATGTATTGATGAGTTTTCTTAAAAATTTTTTCTCTTTTTCTTGAAAAATTTTTTTATAAGGGATGGATTTCTGAGAAGGGAGAGGTAGAATATAGGACAGCTATTTATTTCTTCTACCACAAAAGAAAAACTTAAAGACTCAAAAGGAGAAAATATCAACAATATAAAAACAGAAGTTTTCAATGAAAATCTGTTTTTAAAAAATTTAATCTTGATAACTAACATTTAAGATATGTGACTAGAGTTTAATTCAAAAAAAATTTTATATGTGCAAAACCAACTGGTCCTTTCCTACTAAGAAGCTCCAGCTCTGAATTCACATGGTTTGTTTTCAGCCCTGGGGGAGCCTGGCTTCTAAAGAGAGGAGTCAGGCTTTTTCTTATTGTCTCTGGCTCATCATATTCTCATCCAAAAGTAAAGCTCTGACGACATTCACTTATATAAAGCTTAGGTTTGGCTCATGTCTACAGTCTCCCCAACAGGGATTTATGGGGTCTTTTCTCAAGGTATTTAATGTGCAAAGTAGATCAAATATAGGACAGCTATTTATTTCTTCTACCACAAAAGAAAAACTTAAAGACTCAAATGTATTCATAAATACTTGTAGCATGATATAAATACTTAAAGCATAAATAGGCATTTCACTTTTACTTTGGGACCTGCTGTCTGAGTAATTCCCTCATATTATCTTCTGGCCAGCCCAACATGCATGGCTCATGTTCCTATCCAATGTTCAACTTTTTCTCTAAGAAGTATTGTAGCAGCTACAGGGATGCTGCAATTCATGTAGGACATCTGGCACTTCCTGAAGAAGCCAAGAAGTTAGCATATGGAAAGAGAAAGGGATAAGGGGAGTATGGTCACTCCTATAAAGCCTACCAAGTGAACTATTCTTCCTGGCTTGGTGGCAAGTACTCTTTGATGCAGCTACCCCTACACACACACACACACACACACACACACACACACACACACACACAGGGTCACGGACAGCAAAGGACTGATAATGGGATTGCTTCATCTTCCAGAGCACAAGTTGACAGGGACCAAGAAGAGGTTATTGCATCATTCCAAAGGGATTATCCTCCAGCATTAAACCCAATTACATGTCACTAAAAGTGACCAGGGGAGTTCAAATCAGTTCCACATGCTCCAAATGATGGTCCCACGGATTCATCCTCACACATGCTTCATGGGGTATGCTCTAGCCAGAGCACATCAAGGGAGACTCACTTGAATATTCTCATTATATAGAAGATACGAAATTGGTATCCAATGTAATTTCAAAATTCATGTCACTTTCTTCCATAACTTTTTCTCTGATCTCTATCAAGGAGACTCTAAATAGTAGTTTGATTTGCACTTTTTCTATTGAAATTATCATGTATTATTATGTATTATAGTTTTGTTTTTCAGTCATGTCTGACTCTGTGAGTCTTCTTGGCAAAGATACTGAAATAGTTTGCCATTTCTTTCTTCGGCTCATTTTACAGATGAGGAAACTGAGGCAAATTGGATTAAGTGACTTGCCCAGAGCAACACTGCCAGATAACTCAGGAAGATGAAGACTCCAGGCTTGGCCCTCCATCCACTATGCCACCTAGCTGCCCCTCTGTATGTTATATATTATAGCTATCTGATCATATCAACACCTGACTGGACTGGTTCCATGAGGGCAGGGATTATGTCTTGTCTAAATTTTGTATATCCACCAAGACCTAGCATCAATTGCATTATTTTCCAGTCTCAAATTCCTTGCCACTTTGTCTTGTCACTTGACCAAACCTTGCCAAACTCTAACCTTGGATTGCTCCCACTATGTGCTTCCTTTGCTCCTACTCGCACACTATTGAACAGAGCTGGAAGAAATCATGAAACACCACTGAAAGGACCAAATAGTCCTCCTCAAATTCATATGATCTAACCTCAATGGGGCCCTAACTGTTACAAGACAATCATTCTAATCCTCATTGATTTATTTGTTATCCCATGCTCATGGTGGCTGTTCCAAAATTTCTCCTCTCTCCTATAACCTCAAATGGCACCCCATCCCAC